GTTTTTGTATCTTCTAGTTTTTTTTATATACAATATGATGCATAATTATTTCATTAATTTTTAGATAAATGTTTAGAATGTACCTATATATGTTTATGTTTTTGCTTGTCATGCGGTTTTCTGGGCATCATGTCCGGTTCAATAGCACACTCCCCACTTAACTTTCCCACCCACCTTCCAATGGGAGGAACCTATAGACACCAATGGAGGAGTGGGCCAGAAGATATATAAGGGATGACTGTGCAAGATTGCAAATTGGCTCTGAAGAAGAGGGGATCCACCCTGAAAATGTGTCGGCCATTCTTTGAGCATCTTCTTGTATGAGGGACTCGCACAGTACTCCAGACCATGGCCCTATGTTGGTCATGATATGCTTGTGAAATTTTGGTGTTTGTGAGTATTCATCTGTTACTTTCCATAAATAAAATACTTTTTATTGAGGTAATGTGCAAGGCTTGTGTGCCCTTTTCTTTTTTATAACTTCTAAGGTTACCCATGGCAGCAGGCCTGTCTGTTATGTTACATCTGGCCCAGTGTATGCCAAGGCCATAAGTACTCATAAACCCATGCAACTGGTTCTGATGGGGGTTTCAGAAGTGACCAGGCCTCTGAAGGCAGGCAGTGGAAATAGACCACATAACAAAAATCTCTGTGTTGCTTCAAAAGTAGCAACAGATGCCAGGGTATGGTGTTTCCTCCAGGCTGAATGATTGCAGAGCATGCTGGGCTGCTCTCCAACTAGTGGATTCAGTCCCTCAGCCTTAAACCTTACGGTGGCAACAAATTTGGAAAGACAAACAATGGTGCAAACAGTGAGGTAACTTCTGGTGCATCATCTAAAATGGACTTGCAAAGTCAGTCTTCAGAGACAGGGTCACACCTGAGGCTGTGCCATGGCTCTGGAACTGGAAAGCATTCCACGGCTAACACAGTACACTCAGGTCTGGAAAGCACCACAATGCAGAGATCACTACCGTCCCACTGCAGTCTAGTTCCACACATCCAGTCCAGGATGGGTCCAGGTACAACTTCCAAAGCTAGCGTTGAAGAAACAGATCCTGATATCTGATATATAGAGACTAGCTCAAGAAGCAGTGTATCAATTAATCTTGATTGAAGTCACAGGATATTCCATGCAAAAAAAGGAAACTAGAAAGAACACACAGCTGAGGGAAAGTTGTCCAACCTCTTAGGACACTAGAGAAAAGGCATGTTAAATAGAATTGGGGTTACAATGGAGCTAGCGCACATATTAGCAGTGTTCAAAAATCATGTGAACAGCAGTATAACCTGTTTATGAAGTCCTGTGTCCCTCAATGGACAAGAAAGAAAATTAATTTGTGGTTAAAACAACTATAAAATACATACTACAAAGTTGGTTTGCATACATTCTGTAGCCTTGTATTTTATATTTTTACAACAAAATGTTGATGAACCTGATCTAGGTACTGTCTTGGAACAGAAATAGAGCTGGAAAGCAGACAATGAACATTAAAAGCAAATTACAGAACACAGAGACCGCAATTTCATCACAATTTGTAGCTTTGGAGGGTAACAAGAGTCTATTTTATACCCTTCAGCAACAATTTAAGAGCCAGTAATTCCTTCAAACGGGACATCTAACATGTAGAAAGGAGCTGTTATGCAGAAAGTAAATTACATTACAGAAATAGAGTGTTGTCCAAGCAATTTGATTTATTATGTTCTGTTTTTATCGAGTTTCATAGACTGCTTCAAACTACAAAATAAAGCAGACATCAATGTGAGACAGATCTTTTATCTAGTTTCTACATACAAATGATTTTAGAATAGGAAAACTGGAACTTTAACCATTTCACTGTGCAATAAAGACATTCTTTCTTCATAACTATTTTGCTAACTTTGAATAGTAATGACTATAAAAATATTTTTCAATCCAAAAAGAATTAAAAAAAAGCTCAGTAAACCGATTCATTCATCTCTAATAGTGAAACTAGTACATCTGACTACTGAGCAGGTCTGTTTCATTTATTAGTTGAATATATGTACATAAAGGGTAACTACACTCATTTTAATGTTTTAGATCAGTGGTCTCAAAACTGTGGCCCTTTGGTTGCCTTTACCTGGCCCTTGAGACATTATTCCTGCCACTAACATCAACAAAGGGGTATAATTCCTGCCCCTGACACCAACAATGGGGCACTATTCCTTCCACAAAGAACAAAAATTCCCACTGACATCAACAATTTCTCCACCTAATACCAAAGATCAGTAGTTGTTTACTCACACTGGGCACAGTCCAGCCCCACTAAAGTTTGAAGAACAGTAAACTGGCCCTTTCTTTAGAAAGTTTGGAGACCCCTGTTTTAGACATACACAAAAAAGAGATCAAGTTAAGGATCCTGGGCATGGCTATATTATATATAGTTGCATTGATAAACATGTAACTATGTATATACATATTTTGCCAATTTCCCTGGAAATCACTTAAGTAGACAATGCTACTTCAGTAATCTTCACTTGCTTCCAGGTCTTGTGCTGAGTGGTTGACTTGATGCCTTGTGAGTATAGGAGGTCAGCCGCTCAGAATGGGCATCATTCCAAGAATTCACTGGCTCTTTGGAATAAGTGCAAAGTGTTTTGTGATTGGACAAGGAGGAGATCATGACTTCACTGTCCTGTCTTTCTGCCTCATTCAATCAGAGAATGCTTTGCATTCATTCAGAAGATGAATTCCTGGTAACCATGCTGAGAGGCCTGTATTCACAAGTCATCTGGTTGACAGCTCAGCACAGGACCCAGAAGCAAGTGGAGATTACTGAAGTAGCATTGTCTACTTAAGTGATTTCCAGGGAAATTGGCAAAGTAAGGTATATACATAGTTACATGTATATCAATGCAACCATATATAATATAGCCTGATGTCTACTTCGGTGATTTACAGCTTCCAGGGCATTGGGCCAGGTATGGTATATACATAATTACATTGGTCCAAGCTGAACATATATAATTATGTGTAACATAGCCATTCCTGGAATTATTCTTTAAAATGTGAATCTTACATTAGTGGTTAGTGGCGAACTGAACTTTTTATGATGGTCAGTGTAATCTCCCACTTGCATTAGTGGTTAAAGGTGAAGTTCTCCTTTGCTTCAGTGGTCAGTATGGAATTGCTTTCTTTATTTTGGTGGTCAGTGGAAAAGTGCTAACAAGATCATTGTCAGTGAATACTTACCTGACAGTGGAAGTGGAGAGGCTTAATGGCTTCAGCACCTCCCACCCCAGCTCTTCCACATGAAGAAGGCCCCAAAACTATGCAGGTACTGTCTTTCAAAGGTTTACTCTGTCCCCAGGGCCTGTGTGATGCACAAGGCTGGAAAGAGAGCTTAGTAGGCAAAACTCGTTGCAGCCATAGATGGCTAGATAATTACAAGCAATGCTCCAAATTTCAGACAGCACTTACAGGGCAGTTTCTGAACACTGTAGAAGGTGTAAAAGCAGATATGATGGCAGGTATTTAGAATTTTAAGTGCATTATGTGTAAGGATAGAAGGGATACAGGATATGTTTTTACACAGGAGATACAAGGAAGTTAGTGTGTGAATTTGAGGTTTAAGAGAGAGAGTAGATTCAAATAATAATCCTGAACAACAAGCTTGGGAAGCTGACGTTATAACAGTTTTATCGACACAAATTGTTTTTTCAGGCACTGAAGTGTGTTGTGATGGCAGAAATCTCTATTTTTCTCTGTTATGTTTAAGGAGCAAGAGGAAAGGAAAGATGAGACAGCTGTTAGATAGTTGGAAACACAAGTACAAGATTACACACACACATGCACATGCACAGTAAAATTATAAACACATGCACCCAGTGGTAATCTATTAGGTACACCTGCTTGTTAACACAAATAGCAAAATAACGTATCATGTGGCTGCACCTCAATACATAAAGCACGCAGACATGGTTAAGAGCTGAACAAATGTCTAGCCAACCATAGGGATATATAGGGAATAGGGAAGATGTGTAATCTGCACTCTGACTATGGAATGTTTAGTGGTGGCAAATGTGATGGCTGCCACATCATGGAACCGGCTGACCGCCTGGCATTATTACCCACTACAGTCTCTTAAAGTGGACCTTTCTTTATTTTTACAAGTCTGCATAAATACATTCCTGTTATGTGACTATACAAGAACAGTAAAGGGATTTTTTTTTTTTTAACCTCTAACTTGTATTATTAAAAGTGTTTTTTGTATCTTATGATGTCTTCAAGCTGCTTCAAACAGATGGAAGCACTTCCTTAGTCTTGTCCATTCCTCACTGGCTGATCTGTGTCAGACATTTATGTACACAGTCATGAACTACATACACCAGGGTTTACGTGATTTTGTAATCTTTGAGGCAACATCTTGATCCAAGGTGTAGATGCTAACCTTGAAAAATGCCTGAACAAAGGTATTTGATGGGAAAAGTAGCTGGAGGCATTGTAAGGTGGAGCACAATGATTTTATTGATATATACTTGTACGAGTAACACTTACACGTTACTTAGTATGCATGCATGCAGAAAAGAAAAGTCTGATGCAAGATCAACTTTAACCACTAGCCTACTGGGCACTTATACCCCCTTCCTGCCCAGGCCAATTTCCAGCTTTCAGCGCTGTCACACTTTGGATGACAATTGCGCAATCATGCAACACTGTACCCATATGACATTTTTATCATTTTTTTGAGACAGATAGAGCTTTCTTTTGGTGGTATTTCATCACCTCTGCGTTTTTTTATTTTTTCTTAAACAAACCAAAAACCACTGAAAATTTTGAAAAAAAGATTTTTCTTAGTTTTTGTTATAACATTTTGTAAATAAGTAATTTTTCTCCTTCACTGATGTGCGCTAATGAGACTGTAGTGATGGGCACTGATAGGCTGCACTGATGGACACTGATAGGTGGCACTGCTGGGCACTGATGAGGAGGCACTAGTAGGTGGCACTGATGAGCATTGACAGGCATCACTGATGGGCACTGAAAGGCAGCACTCATACATGGCACTGATAGGCGGCACTGACTGGCACTGATAGGCGGCATTGACTGGCACTGATAGGTGGTACTGACTGGCACTGTTAGGCGGCACTGATAGGCAGCATTGACGGGCACTGATAGGCGGGGCTGATGTACACTGATAGGCGGCACTGACTGGCACTGATAGGTGGCACTGATTGGCAGAACTGATAGGTGGCATTGATATGTGGCACTGACTGGCACTGGTGGGTGACACTGAAAGGCAGCTCAGATGGGCACTGATATGTGGCTTTGATGTGCACTGGTAGGCACTGAAATGTGGCACTGATGGGCACTGGCAGGTGACATGGATGAGCACTGACAACTGGCACTGAATGACACTACACAGATCATCAGGGCACACTGATCATCAGTGCTCTGATGATCAGTGCACATGTCCCCTTTGAGGGATGCTGATTACCGACTCTCCTCTCCTCACGAGCTGTCAGCATGACAGCTCGTGAGGAGAGAAATGCAGATAACCGGCATTTCCCTGTTTACATGTGATCAGCTGTGATTGGACACAACTGATCACATGACCGAGCCGACATCTTCGGCTCTTTCCGTTGATCGGTGATCCGCTGTGTCCGGGGGACACAGCGCACTGCCGATCGCCGCGCATGCGCGGTTAGAATGGGAGGACGTCATATGACGTCCTCCCACAACGAGAGAGAACCGCCTTGCGCCCGTCATTGTACTATATGGCTGGGAGGCGGTTAAAGTATAACTGTGACCAGGCTAAGAACTGAAATATTCTTAACAAGCAGAAATGAAAAGTTAAAACAATCCCTCACTGACCTCTTTAGCTTAAGGCACTGTGCTACAGTTCATCCTCAGTTACCACCAGAAACACTGCTTATCAAGTGCTTATCTTTTGGCTTATCTGCAAGTGTTTATCTTTTGGCAGCTCAGCTCAGGCTCTGGGAGAAGGGGCACAGAGTGAGCTGTGCTCCTGAGAGAGAACATATTGGATGACTTTGGTGCTTTTCCCATTCACATTGAAGATAACTGCTCCATAGCTACGGGCCTTTATCTATGGAGCTCAATGAGGACTTGCTTTTGTTAAAGCCCCGTTCCGGGAAAATACAAATTTTTTCACTAGTCTCTCTTAGACAAGTGTAGAATCTGGTTTGTGTTGTTGTGGGCTTGTCTGTTTGTTAATGACAGTGCTCCTCTGCAACCACTGCCATCCACAAGACAACAAACCAACAGCTTGATAGTTTGTCCTCTGAAATAGCAGATGGCTTGCGGGCAGTTCTGGGCTTAGAGGATCCATCTGACTACTCTCTAATCCTAAATGGAAGAGGATGGGTCCCCCTATATTTTTTCTTAGCAGACTGGATTGGACCCAGAAATAGGCAGGTGTAAACAGACACAAGTCTGTTTACACCCATCTGTCCATAGGGGTGAATGGACCACCTGATCAAGTCCGCCTGAAAAACTGACAGGTGAACCTAATCAGACCCGCTGTGTGAAAAAGGTCTTTATGTACAAATGAGGTTGCAGAGGTGGCACAGAGAGAGTTGCAATATTACATGGAGGGATGCAGAATGTAGAGGGGATGGGAGCTTCACTCATATGAGCTTCTCCCATAGGAGTGCCCACAATTTGGATTTCTGCTGGGCAGCCACCCTGACAGTAAAGAAGAATTACTATTATTTCCTAACTGCTGCTCCATTTGGAATGTGGACAAGTGAATTGTGCACTGGGTCCCCTGGGGGATTTAACAGGCATTTTATACTTGACAGAACTTCTTTAACCACTTTTTCCCCCTTCTTGCCCAGGCCAATTTTCAGCTTTCAGCACTGTCACACTTGATAGTTACATAGTTAATCTGGCTGAAAAAAGACATAAGTCCATCCAGCTCAACCATTAAAAAAAAAAAGTTATAATCCTATACCCACAGTTGATCCAGAGGAAGGCATAAAAACCCAGCAAAGCATGATCCAATTTGCTCCTGCAGAGAGAAAAAATTCCTTCCTGATCCCCCAAGAGTCAATCAGCTATTCCCTGGATCAACTTTACCTATAAATGTTAGTATCCAGTTATATTCTGTGTATCTAGGAAAGAATCCAATTTCACGGTCATGCAACACTGTACCTATATGACATTTTTATCATTATGTTTCACACAAATAGAGCTTTTTTTTGGTGGTATTTAACAGCCTCCCACTCGCCATATAAGGTAATGAAAGAAGGGCGGCAGTTCTCTTGTTCATGGAGGACGTCATATAATGTCCTCCCACTCTAACCCACGCGTGCACGCCCCCGGGGGAGTGGAGCGCGGTGATCGGTGATGCACTGTGTCCCTGGGACACAGCGGATCACCGATCAGCGGAAAGAGCCATTGATGTCATCTCTGTCATGTGATCAGCTGTGACCATTCACAGCTGATCTCATGTAAATAATGAAATGCCGGTTATCGGCATTCCTCTCCTCATGAGCTGTCACGCTGACAGCTTGTGAGGAGAGGAGAGCCGGTAATCAGCATTCCTCAGAGGGGACATGTACACTGATCATCAGGGCACTTATGATCAGTGCCCCGATGATCAGTGTAGCCCCATCAGTGCCACCTGTCAGTGTCTATCAATTCCACTTGTCAGTGCCCATCAATGCCACCTGCCCGTGCCCATCAGTGCCACATATCAGTGTCGATTTTAGCTGCCTTTCAGTACCAACTATCAATGCCAGTCAGTGCTGCCTATCAGTGCCAGTCAGTGCCACCTATCAGTGCCCATCAGTGTCACCTAACAGTGTCAGTCAGTGCCACATAACAGTGCCAGTCAGTGCCGCCTATGAGTGCCAGACAGTGCTGCCTATGAATGCTGCCTCTCAGTGCCATATATGAGTGCCCATCAGTGATTGTCTGTCAATGCTCATCAGTGCCACCTACCAGTGCCTCATCAGTGCCCATCAGTGCCACCTATCAGTGCCTGTCAGTGCAGCCTATCAGTGCCCATCACTGAAGCCTCATTAGTGCAATGAAGGAGAAAAATTACTTGTTTGCAAAACTAAGAAAAAAAATTTTTTTTTCAAACTTTTCAGTTGTTATTGGTTTGTTTAGCAAAAAAAAAAAAAAAAAAAACCCAGAGGTGATTAAATACTACCAAAATACTACCAAAAGAAAGCTCTGTCTGTCTCAAAAAAAATATACAAATTTCATATGAGTACAGTGTTGCATGATCGCGCAATTGTCATTCAAAGTGCGACAGCGCTGAAAGCTGAAAATTGGCCTGGGCAGGAAGGGGGTGAAAGTGCCCAGTAGGCAAGTGGTTAATCACCACTGGGGTTTTAATTTTTTGCTAAACAAATGAAAAAAAGACAGAAAATTTTGCAAACAAAAATGTTTTTGTCTTAGTTTCTATTACAAAATTTTGCAAACAGGTAATTTTTCTCCTTCACTGACGTGCGCTGATGAGGCTGCACTGATGGGCACTGATAAGTTGCACTGAGGAGGACGCATTGATAGACAGCACTGATGAGGGCTGCACTGATAGGCAGCTATGATGGGCACTGATAGGCAGAACTGAAGGGCACTAATAGGCAGCGTAGGACACTGATATGCAGCACTGATGAGAACTGATTGGCAACACCGTTGGGCACTGATTGGCAATGATAGGCAGCACTGATGGGCACTGTTGGGGATGCACGGATAATCAGGGCACTGATTATCAGTGTAGATGTCTCCTTTCACACTTGCTTGTTATCAGCAGTACTTTCCTCATGCTGTGACAGCATGAGGAAAGTGCTGCCGATAACAGGAAAGTGTGTTTACATTGTGATAAGCTGTGATTGGACAGGCGACACTGATGAGCACTAATTGCCAGCACTGAAGGGCACTGATAGGTGGCACTGACTGGCAGCAATGATAGGCAGCACTTTTGGGCACTGTTGGGGATGCACTGATAATCACTAACGGCGCACTGTCCCAGGAGACATTGAGGGGGGAAAACGTCTGCTTGGATTGCCTAGGAAATCCAAGCAGAAGTGGGAGCAGGTACCTATCAAAACCAGGTACTCCCTCTCCCCCCTCAAAAAAAAAAATCTAAATGTTGCAGAGGAAGGGGGGAGGAGGAGGAAGAGCAGAATTTACCCTTTTAGGTGAAGTTAGGATTTAAGTTCCCGGGATCCAAAAAAAGAGAATGTATTTCTGGCAAGATCAACAGGTATTTCCTGTACTTGCGGATAATGCCTCTAGCGTAAAGTGGTTCTAAAACCTCAAGGTTTTTTATTTACCTGAATGCATTCTATGTATTCAGGTAAAAAATCCTCTGTGTCACATACTCCCCCCTCACACTTACCTGAACTCCATCACGATCCAGCGCTGTGTTTTGAGAACGATAGCAGCAGGAGCCATTATCTCTCACTCTTGTCAATAAATTCCAGTGACGAGGGAGAGGGGGGCAGGGCCGGATCCCGCTATCTGTGTCAATGGAGTGAGCCAGCACATGTGCCCCCATGGGAATCGGCTTCCTATTGGGGTCACTGAACAGAGAGGAGGGGCCAGGATCATCGGCGGGGGACTCGAGAAGAGGAGGATCAGGGCTGATCAATGCAATTCTATTGCAAAGAGCAGGTAAGTATAGACATGTTTTGTTTTTCTTGGGAGCATGCAATTGTACAAAATGTCTTGGTATGCTGCCGCCTTAACAGTTCCCTTCACTGGAACTAAGGGGCCAAGCCCAACCCCTGAAAAACAGCCACCAAACCTTCCACTTGGCACAATGCAGTCAAGCAAGTACCGTTCTCTTGGCAACCGCCAAACCCAGACACGTCCATCGGATTGACAGACAGAGAAGCATGATTCCTCAATCCAGACAACACCTCTCCACTGCTCTAGAGTCCAGTGGTGGCATGCTTTACACCACTGCATCTGACCCTTTGCATTGCACTTGGTGATGTAAGGCTTGGATGCAGCTGCTCAACCATGGAAACCCATTCCATGAAGCTCTCTACATACTTTTGTTGTGCTACTCTGAAGGCCACACATGAAGTTTGGAGGTCTTTAGCTATTGACTCTGCAGACAGCTGGTGACTGCTGCACACTGTGCGCTTCAGCATGCGCTGACCTAGCTCTGTCATTTTACGTGGCTTGCTACTTTGTGACTGAGTTGCTGTTGTTCCCAGTTGCTTCCACTTTATGGTATAATACCACTAATAGTTGATCGTGGAATATTTAGTAGCAAGGAAATGTCACGGATGGACCTATTGCACGGGTGGCAACCTATCACGGTACCACGCTTAAATTCACTGAGCTCCTGAGAGTGACCCATTTTTTCACAAATGTTTGTAGAAGCAGTCTGCATGTCTAGGTGCTTGATTTTTTAAACCTGTGGCCATGGAAGTGATTTGAACACCTGAATCCAATGATTTGGAGGGGTGGCAATGTAGTGTATGTATATACTGTATATATATATATATATATATATATATATATACATACACACACACAGTTGTGTTCACAATAATAGCAGTGTGTTGAAAAAAGTGAATAAAGCTTAAAATCCTTCTAATAGCTTTTATTTCCATACACACAAATGCATTGGGAACACTACACATTCTATTCCAAATCAAAACATGAAGAAAAATATATCAAATTTGTATTGTTCCTCTAAAAACAATTGAAGAAAAGTGAATATACTGTTCAAAAAAATAGCAGTGTTTGTATTCTTCTTTACAAACTCAAACATTCACTATATAAACTGAAAAATGTTTGAAGATTTTGCTTTCCTTTGAATCACTTAATTAATATTTAGTTGTATAAGCACTGTTTCTGAGAACTGCTGTACATCTGTGTTGCATGGAGTCAACCAACTTCTGAGAGAAATGCACTGTAACCAGCATGTACAACATTTGCTGCCTTCTTTCCTTAAATAAGGGCAATAATTGCCACCTGTTTTTCAAAGAATGAATGACCTCACTAATAGAGCTCCACACTGCTATTATTTTGAACATGCCCCTTTCAATTAGTGATTCAATTACACAGAATCAGCAGCATGCATGTCATGACTGTTGGGTCTGTTGGATTTCTATTACTCTACTACACCTGCTAGTAAATTATTTGCCATGTGGAAATATAATTTCTACCAGAAACAGTGATTGATCAGGTTAGTGATGTCTGCCTGCTATTATTTTGAACACAACTGTATATATTTTATACACACACACAGGCACACCTATGTATGTGTGTGATTTGTAACTTATGTTACAAGTTTCCGAAATAGTGGCAGACATACTTTATGAGACGGCCATTCCTTGTACATTTTTTCCTTTGCCTGTTGTTGCCTGTATGAAAATGTAAACGTGTAAGGAACGGAATTAGTAATATTGCTAATGATAATTCACTATTAAAATGACATATTTGTGGCTTAATAGCCATCCTCTAACATAGTAATTTTTTTTTCCTGACAGCAGTTTGCAAAATAATAATAATAATGATACTTTGTTAAATGAAGCCAAGATCCTCCTAGTGCCAATAAATCAAGGTGAGTGGTTGGAAACCAGTTGTGGTATTCTGCAATTTATTAGATGTAATAATAACAGGGCAGGTAATTAGGGCAGGGCGAAAGTTCAGGAGCTGTGCAGTTAGTAGAAAAACCTCACGCTACATGTCAGATTTTATTCACGTTAACTCTGATACATGAGACGCCATGCCACTACACCTGGGGTTTGCAGCACAATATATTTCAAACTGCAGTATACTATTTTCCCCATCTCTACAAATTTACTGCCATCAGGTTACAAGAAAGGACCAGGAAATCCACTTTCATATTAAAAATTCCTAGCACACACTCCATGTCATATGCTGGCATTTTCTCCTATGTTTTGATCATATTTCCTAAAACATCACAACAAAAAGTATGCACAATTTAATTCAAGATAAATAAAGTTGAGTTATCATTACAAGTTTGTAATAGTTCCCCTGCACAGCAGGATTCTGATTGTTCAATCCACTATTATCAGCAACAGTTACACTTATCTTGCAAAGCACACACCAGTGCTTATTTTATTTGTCAGTGTCATGTTACATACATTGCACACATGGACAAATAGTTAAAGCTGGTTTTAGGTACCTGAAATCTATTTTGCTTTGAGCCACTTTTAGTCCCTGTACAGCAGAGCTCAGACTGGGAGAAAGATAAGCAGAACCAGGAGAAAAAACAGTTGTGCTGCAGTGCAAGTGGCATGTGGACAGGAGGAGAGAGCACAGTGACATCGAAATTAGCTCATTAGTGGGCTGCTCCTCCTTTCATTGTGCAGTGACAAGCTGAGGGACAAGACCTGTATAACTGTAGAAGATTAAAATCAGGTCTCCTGCCCTGCCAGACATTACTGTTCTAAGTGGCAAAACTGTGTAAATCTGAAGACACAATAAACAGAAATACAAATCCTGTTAAAGGTAAAACAGCTCCCATATGTGTATTCAATCTGTGTATTTATCTGTTGATCTTGGCTTTGAGGAAGAACTCTAGGAAGCATTATATCACTCAAAACCGTTGCATTCACAAATACCATGGCAGTTCCAGAGAAATAACACTTGCTGTTTTGAGGGTTCAAATGGTTTTTTTACATTCCGAGATACAGAAAATTTTAAAAGATGCAGCACTCCTGCACATCCTTCTGTATGTAACTCAGATTCAGACAACCATGAATACAGGCATCCTTTTGTTCCCCATAGACATGAGTTTCAACTTCTGTACTAGATGCTGATGTGCATATAGCATATATAATATCTACACATCTAAAAGGAAAGTACCCATGCTAAAACTGCTGAAACATTATAATTTGTTACCTACCCAGAGAAAAGCCATAATTCTTAAGTTGGCAACACATTATTGTAGCTGTTAAAACTCACACATACTGTACACACAGTAAGATGCAAACGTTTAAGTCACAAGTGTGAATGCATTCAGAAATAATAAAATGAATAGTTTTTGTTTATCAATTAATAACCTACAAAGTGAATAAATAGATAAATACCTAAATCTAATCAATACTTGGCATGTCCACCCTCTCAAAAAATTAGAATATTGTGCAAAAGTTCATTTATTTCAGTAATGCAACTTCAAAGCTGAAACTAATATATGAGATAGACTCATTACATGCAAAGCAAGATAGTTCAAGCCGTGATTTGTCATAATTGTGATGATTATGGATTACAGCTCATGAAAACCCCAAATCCACAATCTCAGAAAATTAGAATATTGTGAAAAGGTGCAATATTCTAGGCTCAAAGTGTCCCACTCTAATCATATAATTAAGCCAAAAAACCTGCAAAGGGTTCCTGAGCCTTTAAATGGTCTCTCAGTCTGGTTCAGTAGGAATCACAATCATGGGAAAGACTGCTGACCTGACAGTTGTGCAGAAAACCATCATTGACACCCTCCATAAGGAGGGAAAGCCTCAAAAGGTAAATGCAAAAGAAGTTGGGTGTTCCCAAATTGCTGTATCAAAGCACATTAATAGAAAGTTATGTGGAAGGAAAAATGTGGAAGAAAAAGGTGCACAAGCAGTAGGGATGACCACAACCTGGAGAGGATTGTCAGGAAAAGGCCATTCAAAAGTGTTGGGGACTTTCACAAGGAGTGGACTGAGGCTGGAGTCAGTGCATCAAGAGCCACCACACACAGACGGATCCTGGACATGGGCTTCAAATGTCGTATTCCTCGTGTCAAGCCGCTCCTGAACAACAAACAACATAAGAAGCGTCTTACCTGGGCTAAAGAAAAACAGACCTGGTCTGTTGCTCAGTGGTCCAAAGTCCTCTTTTCTGATGGGAGCAACTTTTGCATCTCATTTGGAAACCAAGGACCCAGAGTATGGAGGAAGAATGGAGAGGCACACACTGCAAGATGCTTGAAGTCCAGTGTGAAATTTCCACAGTCTGTGTTGATTTGGGGAACCATGTCATCTGCTAGTGTTGGTCCACTGTGCTTCATTAAGTCCAAGGTCAACGCAGCCGTCTACCAGGAGATTTTGGACCACTCATGCTTCCTTCCGCAGACGAGCTTTATGGGGATGCTGACTTCATTTTCCAGCAGGACTTGGCACCTGCCCACACTGCCAAAAGCACCAAAACCCGGTGCTTACGCTTGATTGGCTAGCAAACTTGCCTGACCTAAACCCCATAGAGAACCTATGGGGCATTGCCAAGAGAAAGATGAGAGACATGAGAGACATGAGAACGAACAATGCAGAAGAGCTGAAGGCCGCTATTGAAGCATCATGGTCTTCCATAACACCTCAGCAGTGCCACAGGCTGATAGCTTCCAAGCATTGAGGCAGTAATTGCTGCAAAAGGGGCCCAAACCATGTACTGAGTACATATGCATTCTTATACTTTTCAGAGGTCCGATATTGTTCTATGTACAATCCTTGTTTTATTGATTACATGTAATATTCTAATTTTCTGAGATTGTGAATTTGGGGTTTTCATGAGCTGTAAGCCATAATCATCACAATTATGACAAATCACGGCTTGAACTATCTTGCTTTGCATGTAATGAGTCTATCTCATATATTAGTTTCAGCTTTGAAGTTGCATTACTGAAATAAATGAACTTTTGCACAATATTCTAATTTTTCGAGTTTCACCTGTATTTTTATTGCTGTTTGAGCTTCTCTTTGGGAGATTCACCCTCTCTATTTGTCTTGTTTACTGTTATCATTGAAAAGTGAAGGAAAATCCCATATTTTGGGTAGTTCCCAGAAAATAAGGGGAAATCTTCCAATGGGGACACTGGTTTTGGTGGACTGGGGCCCAAGGGATTCACTCAAATTTGCAGAGATTTCCTTTCATTTCCTGTCTTGGCTTAGGGACAGGATGTGAAAGTAAATCTACCGAATGGGCCAGAGATAGAAAAAAAAAATCGAGACTCCATGTGTTTTTACTGCCCACCCCTCTCCAACCATAATGGAGCCCTTAAGGATTTTGCAGGCATATGGTCCAGTGCAGGATTAAACAATTATACTAAAGAGGTGCTAATGATCAACAATTGTAAATCAAACACAATCAGCTATGCTTGTGGAAAGCCACAAGGTCTTTCACAGACAGAAATTTCAGTGACGACAGGTGTTACCTGAAGTGCAGTCCAGGCTCTTCTGCAGATGCGAAAAGGAATAGGCAATGATGAAGACAGAAAATGCATCAGTCAGCTGAGAAAACTTAGTAGAACATATGAAAGACATATAACTCTGACTTTACCTTGCC